GGAGTTCAGCAGCAAGAGTCTCCAAATCTCCTGCAAGGAGATACAAGAAGCAGAAAACCTCCGGAAAGACGGGGGCCGAGGTATCCAAAGGGGCCCAGAACCGAATCCAGGGAGGAGCCGAACCCAGGGAGGAGCCGAACCCAAATCATACTCACGCAGGAAAGAAAGGGGTGGGGGGTTAGGGGTAAGAAAACCCCTCCCCCTGCAACAACAAACAAGCTTTCCACAAACAACAAGTTGGTGCAAAGAGGGCACCAACACCCAATTGGGGTCAAAGGGGGCCCAAGACCCCCCAGGTCGACTCCTCCACAGCCCTGGGATCCCCCCAAGTCAGGGCCCGGGACAGAGCAGTTCTCCATACCCTCTACCATGAAGAAAAGGCAGAGTCCAGGAGAAAGGTTGACAAGAAGGGGGCCTGCTGGTAGGACCCAGAAGCCTCGGCAGGAGGAACCGTCTCGAATGCCTCCGATCCCCATCCGAACAGGGCAGCCCCCGAAGCTGCCCACGGGCAGCTTCATCGGCACCAATGGATCGTGAGACCAAGCATGGGCAAACAAAGCCAGCCCACCCCCCACCTCCAGCACCCTGTCAACGAAGAGACCAGCAAAAGGGCTGACACCCCTTATGAGAAGCCGGCCAACGAGCAGAGCGAGCATTTATACTATCCAGACAACGCAAACTCAGACACTGGCACCAAGGGCCCACCTCGACCAGAAGAACCCTGAACCCTGACACGACTCTTCCAAGAGGCCCGAGAACGGCCACCCAGGAAAACTAAACAAATTTGATAGAGGACGGCAACTAGACAAGGCCGCCTGTAGAAACTGAGTCACAGCACCGTCCTCATACCAACACAAGATCCCCGGAGAAACGAACCCAACGGGAACCCCAGAAGGATGTGGTGGATCAACCACGTCCAACGCACCCATTATGATGACATGACGAGGCGTAGGGGAAGAAGCCCACCCCGCCAGCCCAGAACCCCCCATAGGGGGAGAAGCCGTCCACCGCCGCCACCAGAGACCGGAAGACAACCAAAAGCGCCCACTACCTGCGGGACCATGCGAGTCAACAGACCAAGCTGCTCCCCCAGCGCCCCGTCAACAGAGAAGGGAACAGAACCCCCTCCGAAAGAAAAGGTACACATATACACATTATGTATATACACATACAAGGTATGTTACACACACGTGTGTACTCACCTAGTTGTACTCACCTAGTTGTGCTTGGGGGGGTTGAGCTCTGGCTCTTTGCTCCCGCCTCTCAACCGTCAATCAACAAGTGTACAGGTTCCCGAGCCTATTGGGCTCTATTATATCTACACTTGAAACTGTGTATGGAGTCAGCCTCCACCACATTACTTCCCAATGCATTCCATTTGTCAACCACTCTGACACTAAAAAAGTTCTTTCTAATATCTCTGTGGCTCATTTGGGCACTCAGTTTCCACCTGTGTCCCCCTAGTGTGTGTGTACCCCTTGTGTTAAATAGCCTGTCTTTATCAACCCTGTCGATTCCCTTGGGAATCTTGAATGTGGTGATCATGTCCCCACCCCGGTGGTGGGGACATGATCGAGGTCGGAGGAGCGAGGAGGGTCATTAGTTGAAAGTGAGAGTTTAGAGAGGGGTGGAGGGAGAGGAAGAAGAGTAGATAGTAGATGGTAGAAGTAGAAGAGTAGATAGTAGAAGACGAAATGCTGCCACCATCCATTCATGATCATTACATACAAGACAAGGAATGGAACTTGTCTGTATCACAATATTCTCAAAAGATGTTATTACCATGTATCAACTCCAAACATAGGGGACACAGTTAAAGGCCATTTAAATAATAAATTCAATTATATTTCATATACTAAGTATCATAATTTAAGCAATGTTCAAGATCTATATATGTAAAGTGAGTCATCCTCCAAGAATCTGAGAACACTACAACTGACTGCCCCTTATCATCACACAACACTTGTAAAACACGACAAGTCACCTTAATGTTCAACTCACCAAGTGCCTGCCTATAACTGGATAGAGAGGGGGGGTCTATAGTTGACAGAGACTGTCCCCCTGCCGGCCGACAGCCTCCCTGCAAGGGCCGTCTCCTCTGCTCTGCTGACTGCCGTTCTTCTGTCTCGTTAATGCTAATGCTCTCGAATCGATAGTTCTCCGAGTATATATTGGGGAAACCTAGTAGCTAACTCCGCCCACAAGTAGATAGCCTCTGGCTCTCTACCAAGCCACTCCTTAAACGTCGGCATGTTTGAAGGCTACCAGGCTCCAATTATAAGATTAGTAGAAGTAAGGTAAAATTCGCATGATCTGACCTCAGGTCACTTGGGGTCATTAACTCTCAGAGGTGTGAAACTCAGGCCGACCAAGCTGGCGCCTTCCCAAAATCCCTGTCTGTGACTCATGTACTATATATATTCTAAATAAACTAAACCAAACACTTTTACAGTGTTACACCGGAATCGAATCAGGGGGGGGCCCAAACCACCACATTTGCCAGCGAAAATACACCACAGAAAGGCAAGGCACAGCCCCCAGACAAAACCCCCTGGGAAACGGCCAAAACAGACCGAAAACCGAGGAACAAGGTGTGGGAGCAAGTACAGACAGGGACACTGAGCCGAAACCCTAGGGCCCAAACCCAAAACAGATATTAAACGGAAAACCCGGTGTAAAAACCAGCACCCAAATGTTCCCAGAGGAGCAAAAGACGGGCAGAAAACACCAGAAAAGCAAAGAAACAACAACAGGAGAATAAAACCCCTGAAAAGAGGTGAAAAAACTCACCCCCAGACGAATGTAAACAAACCGCCGTGCCGCCCTGGTGGCCACGCCGGGGAAACCAGCAGAAAGAAAATGGCCACCAGAACCGGGGGCTGTGACCGACACAAAAGATACGAAAACACGCCAGCAAAAGTGGGAAGGAAGCAAGCAGACTAGATGGGCGAAAAACTCAGCCCAGAAGCAGAAAACCCCAGGCAGGGGCAAACAACCCCAGAAGTGCTAGCAGGCATCCCCCACAGCCCCGGGAGCCCGTAAAAGAGGCCCCAGGGCAGAGCCGTCCTCCACACCCTCCGCCCTTAAAGAAAAGGAAGAGTCCATGGGAAAGGCAGCAAGAAAGGTTCTGAGTAGCTAAATCTAAAACAACAATGAAGGGGACCCTAAGCGCATGCAGCCCCAGTACTTGTGAATATACTCCTAGCTCGCACACCACCGAAGATTAGAAAGAATCATATAAAAAATTGCGGAGCTGGAGGTACACAACCGAAGTCCACCGACATCAGCCAAAATATGGCAGGCTTGGGTAGCCAGCGGAAGGTCTGGGGCTCCCGTCCCCCCTCTCCGGGAAGAGGGGAGTTGCTCAGACGGCGGCGCGTTGGTAACGAAATGACGTCATGCTCGTTTGCTTGTTTTTTCTTCATGGGGAGTTCTATCCATTTGTTCGGCTTTGATAGCAATTCTTAACCAGATTAGGGGGGGGGGGGATTTTGGGGCGTCTATCTTTCTGGGTGCCCGACCTGGTTGATGTAAGACATAAGAGTATTTCTAAATTATATGTAAAGTGTAGCTATAGGCCATTGCTTCTCGCGCTTTTCTATGGGACTAGATTCTGGCTCATTGGTCCCCATCAGGCCTAGAACTCCATGTACATTGACTGATGCCCTAAGCTAATACTCCATATCAACCCAGATAGCTCCGGGGAGCCAAAGGGGCTCCCCAAAGAAAAGCTATAAGCACAGGCTTGGAACAAAAATCTCTGGACACTCCCGTTACGAGAACATGGGCACTTGCAAAATCAACAGGACACACTCACAGCATCCTGAAGCAAAAGCCAAGTGAGCTTTGCCACACTCCCTGGAGATTTGAGGCACCCCTAGGAAACGTAAGGGGTGCCCCAAATCAGAAATATGGGTTGCTCATCCAGAGACCCAACTCGGTCCCAGAGAGCTAGAGCACATAACACAAGAGTATGTGGCATTTTGAACCTGGTATGGAAGGTTAAATGACCAGGGGAGCTACTGAAAAAGGTAGGCCTAGAAAAATTGTAAAACTCGAGAAAAGCACAAACATACTCATGACATGGATATTAAACTTGCAACAACTTATTTTGTAGTGGTAAAGAACATGCAAAACAAAATTCACACTTGTTAATACACTTTAGCGCTCCCGGGTCGTAAATAAACGACGCGTATTTTTTCCTAAAAGTACAACCGCGTCGTAAATTTACGCGCGATTAAAGAATATTTGTATAAAATCCAATTCTTATTCGATCGACTTGGGGATAGTATGAAAATGTTTGCCATTAAATTTCCGTTTTCTTTAATAGGCACATGGCATATTTGGGAGAACGGCATTGTATTGTAACTTAGTGGAAAGACTATTGTATTGTTGACACGGCAAGTGTAATCGCCCACTTCACACAAACTCTTGGTGTGGGCCGCAATCATGATTCTACATTTATATGCATATGTCCGTGTAGGGAATTTAATTGCGATCACAGTGATACCAAATTTAATGCTGTAGGACAAGTGTGGAGTTGACAACCCTGAAAAGAATAGAAACATTTCGTCGCAGTTTGGAGCTCACGGCTAGTGATCGATGTAGTTCTTTAGCTTTTTGTGTGATTTAATTCATGCATTGGTGACATATACATATGTTCTTATATGTTCCTATAGATCATTCTATTGCGAACACATTGGTATAAAAATGAAATCTGTACATCGAAAATTAAGGTCAGGACAGCGAAAAGAGTAGGCACTTTTCAGTGTTGCCGCTCGGTCACCCGAAAACGTCGATTTCACTTCCAGGAAGTTCCAGTCCATATCGCCGTGCGCGTCAAAGTGTTAAACTCGTGCTATGTAACAGTCTGCTATATTAATGCTAAACTATATAGAGAGGGGGGAGGGGAACCATAAACATACCTCTGTGTACTTCATACTGGCATTTATAAACAAGTAAAAATACAAAATAAATGTATATACACAGATACACTGTACCTGTAACAGACGTTTTATAAAAGCTTGTATCCTCTGTAACGAGTCATCAAATACCAAGGCCTTGAAAATCAGATTTAGAAAGGCACTATTTGCTGATGAAAATCCAAATGCTGGGTCTTGTAACTGTTTGTACAACACTTGAAAAAACCTGAAATGCAGAGAAAAAGCAAGTTTTATTGAAGAACTTAAAAAACCAGCGTTGAATGTAATGAAACGCCATTTTCTGGGTGAGCCCCGGAGGCTCCCTGGAGCTTATCGAGCTAATGTATGTTATATTAGACCGGGACATTAGCTAAGGAGTTCAGACCTTCCAGGGACCAGTGCCAGAACCTGGCCCCTTCAGAGAGGTTTCAGGGAGCAATGGCCCTGGAAAACCCCTTTGTGGTTGGGGTTTTCCTTATCTACCATCGACCGGGGTTAGTCACCCAGAACGGTAGGCATAACAAAACAAACCCCACATGGTAAAACAAAAAAAAACAAAAAAAAATAAACCAAAAACCGAACAGAGAGGTAGAAACTCCCTACAATCACAAGGAAACAAGGAAACAAGCAAACAAGCAAACATCACACTTTACTGCCACGCCGATCGTCCACGCAGCCCTCCTCGCCCTGAGAGGGGAAGGAGGAAGCCCCGGACCTACCGCGCCGGCTGCCAAGCTTCAGTTCGGAAGCTAAGCTTCAACCAACGCGAAAAAACCGCCGACCGGTGGGAGGGAGGGTTGCCAGGGAGCCTCTGGGGCTCATCCAGAAAATGGCGTTTCATTACATTAAATGCTGGTTTTCTGTGGGGAGCCCCTACGGCTCACTGGAGCTTCATACCCAAAGAGAAGGAAAAGAAAGGGCTAACCCGGGAGGCGGCCGCCACAAACTCTGCAACGCAAAGCCGAGACAACAGGTCGCAACCTGCGACCCAAGGCAACAAGAACGCACAGAACAGGAGCAGACGCACAAAGAATGGGCGGCCAAGAACCTGTGTGACTTTCAAATCCCTGCGCCTGAAATGAGCCCTAGACGTCCCAACACAGCAGCAAAAGATGCAAACGTCTGAACAGCACAGGCGCAAAGACAGACCGCAGGCTGGAAGAATGAAAAATCTGCGGACGACCTGGGAGACCCGAGTTCTGAAAACAGGGAACGAGGGGAACCGGATCAACCACAGCGCATCCCCAGACACGGTATGCCGGCAACGGCAAAAACACAACTGGACAACACAGGACGCACCCCCGGCCAAACCAATCAAGCATCAATACCCCAAGAACCCCTCCGGAAAGCAGCCGACTCTACCGTCGCCAGGACGGAGAGAGGTTGCACACGTACAAATCTACCACCAGTACCAAAGAGCAGAAATCTGAACCGAAGGGGCTACCACAAACTGAGGAGAAGATAAGAAGGCACCCTGATCAAGGACCAGGACGGCTCAGGCGACACATGAGCAGGCCGGAGGCGAAACAAAACATGAGAAAGCGTACAAAACGTCATACTGTCGCCAAGACGAAGCTCGCAGGTGGGACACCGTCAACAAAGCCACCAGAACACCATAGAGATGGTGACACCCGCGTCAAAATACCAGACGCGAAGAGCTGAGGAGAAGGCCGAACCAGTCACGTACAGGACCAATTCGACCTGCCGAAAGAGGCGGAGTCGCGGGAAAACTCCCCGGGTTCGGACACCTATCAAGCAGCGTCTGAAAATAAGGCTGGGCCGGCCACCAAGGAACCATAAGGACTGCTCTCGTGGGAGTGGGCTGCAACCGAGCCAGAACCCCAAGCAACAGCTGGACCCGGAGAAGAGGAACAGGTACCCCCACCTCAACCAGTCCTGCCGAAAAGCATCCACCGTGAATGCCTCGCAGGTGGGAAAGGGCGCCACATAAAATGGGCGACGCCTAGACCACGCTGACTCGAAGACGTCCATGGTCAGGAGTCCATATGTCCGACAGAGCCAACAAAATGAGTCGGCGACGACTGGCCAATCCGCGAAGAGAGGAATGAATCGAGACAGCTGTCCACCAGGACGCAGGACACCCCAGACATGAACCTCACAGTTAGCCAAACCCCTGTGGTTCTGGCAAGAACCGCCAGAGACAGTCCAAACAGAGCTGAATGGCAGAGCACCGAGTGACCCAAACCCTCCGAAGCGCAAACCAGACAGCCACGAACTCCCAAACTGTGCTGTGAGCCCGACGGACGGACAGACTCCACCAACCTCGGCCGACCTGGTGAGCACTGGTCACAAAGCCCCAGCCGAGAGATGACCCATCCGTGAAAACATCGAGCAAAGGCTCGGGGAGGTGCCAAGGCACGGAACCCCGAAAACCCCAAAGAGGAAGCTGGTGACACAGCACCAACACAAGATCCCCAGAAGAACGAACCCAACGAATGCAAGAGGCGGAAGGGGAGTCTCCAAAGGAACCAAACAGACGCCAAAGCCAAACCCGACTCCGCGGGCAGACCAGCACGCCGAAGTTCAGACTCCCGCACAACCGCTCAAGCAACCGCTGAGCAACCCAGGACCCCCTCATGTACAGCCGAAGGCGGGACCACAGCCGCAGTAACACTTCTGGAGGGAAAGAAAATGAGTGGCCCAATAGCCCTAAACAAGGCACAGGTCCAAACCCGGGATGGAAACAGATGGAAAAGCCTCCAGATCATCAGGAAACCAAACCCGGCGATCTGGAAGGAACCATACCCCTGGCGAGCAGACAAGCGGACTGACTGGGAGCCCACACCAGCCAGTCGTTGAGGTAGGCCAGACACCGAATCTCAGACGCAGACAGAGTACTAATATCCGGTAAAGATGCAAAAATTATACCAAGTGCCTATTACCAAATAGGGAAGGCAAGAAAAACAGCAAACCTGAAGCCCCATCACCAACTGTCAGTCCCAGAAAACTGGAGAGGAACATGCCAAGAAGTGACCTGGAGGACCAGGACCACCATCCAGGCACCTGGCCACAACAGAAGCCAGACAGGAGACAACAGTCTTCCGAGGAGGGCATAGGAGCCAGGGCGCAGACTGAAGAAGTCCAGAAGAACTGCAGATGGGAAAAGCTCATGACTGCAAAGAGCAGACGGGAACCCCAGAAGGATGGGGCGGAACGACCACGTCCAACGCACCCACTAAGATGACAGGACGAAGCGCAGGGAAAAAAGCCCACCCCACCAGTGCTGAACCCCCCCAAAGGGGAAGAAGCCGTCGACCAATGCCACCAGAGGCCGGAAGACAACCCAAAGCGCCCACCAACAGCGGGACTATGCGAGAGGCAAAAGAGCAAGCTGCTCCCCCAGCGCCCCGGCAACACAGAAGGGAACAGAACCCCTTCCGAAAGAAAAAGTATACACACACACAAGATATGTGACACACGTGCGTATACACATGTGCACACACACACACAGCAGTGAACACCAATTCTTTAAAGAATTCTGATAAAGAAAGAGATCTAGGGGAGGTTCTAGATAGAAAACTATCACCTGAGGACCACATAAAGAATATTGTGCGAGGAGCCTATGCCACGCTTTCTAACTTCAGAATTGCTTTTAAATACATGGATGGCGATATACTAAAGAAATAGTTCACGACTTTTGTTAGGCCAAAGCTAGAATATGCAGCAGTTGTGTGGTGCCCATATCTTAAGAAGCACATCAACAAACTGGAAAAGGTGCAAAAACATGCTACTAAGTGGCTCCCAGAACTGAAGGGCAGGAGCAACGAGGAGAGGTTACAAGCATTAAATATGCCAAAACTGGAAGACAGAAGAAAAAGAGGTGACATGATCACTACATACAAAATAGTAACAGGAAATGATAAAATCGATAGGGAAAATATCCCGAGACCTGGAACTTTAAGAACAAGAGGTCATAGATTTAAACTAGCTAAACACAGATATCGAAGAAATGTAAGAAAATTCATTTTCGCAAACAGTGTTTTAGATGGTTGGAACAAGTTAGGTGAGAAGGTGGTGGAGGCCAAGACCGTCAGTAGTTTCAAAGCGTTATATGACAAAGAGTGCGGGGAAGACGGGACACCACGAGCGTAGCTCTCATCCTGTAACTACACTTAGGTAATTACAGTGTATACATGTATACACACACACACACACACGTGAAAAGAAAATTACAAGCCGCTGACCAGTGGGCAGAGAGCACCACGCCGGCCAGGTGAAGAAGGCACAAAACTGCATCAAAAGGCCCACCTCAACAACAAAACCAAAAGTCCCAGCACGACCACAACACGTGCCAAGACCCAAAAAGATCAGTCTGCAAGCCAGGAAGACCCCGGAACCCCAGAAGGCAGAACTGGGTCACACGAGAAAACAAAGCCCCCTGAACCCACAAAGGGGGCCCATGGGGAAAAAACCTCCGGAACGAAACCAAAGAACCCAAAGGAACCCGGAATCGAACCAGAGGAAGCCCAAACCACCAAATTTGCTGGCGGAGATACACCACTGAAATGCAAAGCACAGCCTCAGACAGAAACCCCCAGGGAAACGGTCAAAACAGACCGAAAACCGAGGGACAAGGTGTGGGAGCAAGCATAAACAGACAGGGATACTGAGCCCAAACCCTAGGGACCAGACCCAAAACAGACAAAACGGAAAACCCGGTGTAAAATCAACACTCAAACATTCCCAGAGGAATAGAAGACGGGCAGAAAACACCAGAAAAGCAAAGAAACGACAACAGGAGAATAAAACCCCTGAAAGAGGTGAAAAAACTCGCCCAAGACGCTCGCTCGCACACCCAGGCACATGTAAACAAACCGCAACGCCGCCCTGGTGGCCACGCCGGGAAACCGGCAAAAGAAAATGGCCACCAGAACAAGGGGCTGTGACCGACACAAGAGATACGAAAACACGCCAGCAAAAGTGGGAAGCAAGCAGACTGGATGGAAAAAAAAACTCCACCCAGAAGCAGAAAACCCAGGCAGGGGCAAACAGCCCCAGAACTGCTAGAAGGCATCCCCCCACAGGCTCGGGAACCCGCAACAGAGGCCCCGGGGCAGAGCCGTCCTCCAAGCCCTCCGCCCTTGAAGAAAAGTTAGAGTCCATCGAAAAGGCAGCATGAAAGGGCCGCTGTTAAGACCCAGAAGCCTTGGCAGGAGGAACAGGCTCAAAAACCTCCGTCCCCAACCCGAACAGGGCAGCCCACGAAATGACCCGAGTCTCGGCCCAACTAAATCCCGCTCCGACCCCGAAACCCGCAGAAGGTCCGGAGCCGGGAACAGGGAGGGAAAGGGGCGAACAGCACCTAACCAAAACGGGGCGGCCCCGGGGCATCCGAGTGGGAAACCAACCTAGCGTGTTGCAGCAACCTAACCTTGCTTGCAACACGGATGCCACCTGTACTCTGAACACTAATAACATCAGGAGAGTACTGGAGAACAAGCAGAGAATATCTCTCGCAAGACTCTGGGTCAAGGTGTCAGTGACCCAACAGGCAACATGACGGAGGTAAAAGTGGAGACTGTCACCCAGAGACAAGGGCACAGCAACCAACGATCCAGTACAAGATGGGTTGGAACCCGGAAGACACATTCAATGGTCCACCGAGCCCTGACAGGGGTCTCCAGGGGCCCATAGGGTAACAACTACGGGAAGCCCGGGCAAGGTGTTGCTAACTAGTTAAAACCGAAAAATAACAAGGGGTAGAAGACAACACTGAAAACCCCTGCGACGTGTACAATCACGGGGGCCTAGCAGAGGGCCACCAAACACTACCAGTGGAACTATAGCCACACTAGACAGACCCTCATCAGGTAAATGAAAATAAAAGCAAAAAACAAAAGCCGCAAAAGTACACCGTCTCCAGAGGCAACAGGAACCGGGCCCTGCATAGGTGGCAGGTCGCGCAACACCTTGACGACCTAACCAGCACAATACCAGTCCCTACCCAGGGCCAAACAAGGGCCCAAAGCCCCAGGTGGCCCCAAGGGCAAGGCAAAAGCCGAGCAGCAAGAACCTCTATGGGAATGGTTCCCGAACGCCCCAGGGAAGATAACCCTGTCACGCAGGGGCAGTACTCGCAGGGCGCTTAGGGAAGGAAGCCCCTAAGCGCATGCAGCCCTGGTACTGATGAGGAACACCTGGCCACCACACAACACAAAAACACAGCAGTGAGCGCCACGAAGACAAACACCACCTAGGAAACTGAGGCCAGAGAAGCATCTGTCCCGGTTGACATTAGCTTGAACTGAAGTGCTATGCAGCTGGCGCGGTAAGGTCTGGGCCCTCCCCTTCTCCTCTTGGGTAGGGAAAGGCTACGCGGACGATTGACGCGGCAGTAAAGTGTGATGTTTGCTTGTTTCCTTGGGATTGTAGGGAGTTCTACCTCTCTGTTCGGTTTTTGTTGTTAGTTTCTTACCATGTGGGGTTTGTTTTGTTATGCCTACCTTTCTGGGTGCCTAACCCCGGTCAATGGCAGATAAGGAAAACCTCCAAATCCCGGAGGTTTTCGAGGGCCATTACTCACTGAAACCTCTCTGAAGGGGCCAGGTTCTGGCGCTGGTCCCTGGTAGGTCTGAACTCCATAGCTAATGTCCCGGTGTAATATAACATACATTAGCCCGATAAGCTCCAGGGATCCGTAGGGGCTCCCCTCAGAAAACTCTGCAACTGATGGGACCTAGTAGTTTGGCACACAATCAGAGATAGTAGCTTCAGGAATCCACAAGGTGCACCCCTCAGAAATTGAAATTAACATTTAATGAATCGCATTACCCCATGCATCAGCACATGACGATAACTACTCCTTAAGGATTAAAGAGCAATAAAATGAGATAGCTCAGCACAGTATTAAGAAATGACAGCCAAAGAAACAAAACATGAACTGGTTATTCTTACCTGTCCGAAATTAGTTGTTTACTACTCAACACTTGATAAATTAACTGAAGAGCTTGAGTAGCTATAGCAAAATTGACAAGATGACACAACTTATACAAGGTGTCGAGCTGCTCCTCCAATGCATTGCCTTCCAGTTGTGAATAGGGGAAGGCACGGTTGATTCCACGCAGTAATGCACTCATAAGCCGCGTGTTCACCTCTCCCTAAAAAAAAGTTAATATAAATTGCCATCCACACTTCTGTGTAAATAAGCATTCCATTCACCTGGGCTCAAGGAGACACAAACTGTTATTAAGACTACTCAACAGCCCGGTCGATAGAGCTTCAGACTTGCACACACGTGTGGTCCACAGTTCTAGGGGCTCCTAGAGTCCAGGTGAATGGATTGAATATAATTTAATCTAACTGTTCTCCACTCAAATTCAATAAAATAACAAATCAATTAGATGGATATTGATTGTAGCCAAGCAGGACATGCTTGTATACCATTGCGAGCGACAGAAGGCCTTTTAAGTTTATAGAGATTCCTTTAGCCAAAAGGAATGCTGTGTTCTGACACATTATCATTGCTGACTAGACCCAACAGTGCTGAACCTGATTGACTGACTCAAATATTATTCGTTATGCCACACCATTCACCAAACAGTGCCGCAGGAAAGAGATGTGTCAATACACCACCAAAACAATTGCAAGCTCCCTCCCCACAACATATGACAGCTATAGATAAGGGACGCCCCAACCCCTAACTAGCAGTGTTGTTTAGAAAAAAGACCCTAGACAAGAGATATCATGAACAGTTCGACTGATAAAAATTAAGTATGCCATGAAATGAGTAAAGTGACAGACCAAAATCTTCCTAAAGTGCCACAGACTCTGCATTGCATTGACATGGAGGAGGATAAGCACTGATCAGTGAAGTGGTACAAGTCCTTCAGCTACACCAAGCCAGAAAAGTTCAGACAAAAAGCATTCGAGGTGCTGATAGGCAAGGACTCCACAACACCAGCATGCATGCATAGCTAAAGAAAGGCCTACCACAAAAGATAGTGGAAATCTACCACTGTGTCCCAGATCATTCCCCAACAAAATTATGAACTGGGACATTTGCCAGTTAAAGAGGAAGCTAAAACTTATCAACAGGAAAAGCACTAAATCACAAGCTAGCAGATAAGTGGGACACCTGGGGACCAGAGCCACTAGTCTCAGTGTTCTTTCATCTTGAGCCATCTCATATCCCTCCAGAGTCTTCTGGGCCACTGTCAGGTGAGGAAGCTTCATGGTCTTTAAGTTGCATTTTTGTTCCTTTGGTCATAGTCATTTTCTTTGTCATCAGCCCTGTCCTTCATTTTTGATAAGGATAGACATCTGCATTCCGGAGGGGTATTTTGATTATTAAGTTTGTTTGGCTGTGAGTACATAATAACCTATGTCCTGACACCACACCATGGTCTTATTTGAGTAATTACCTATGTGTAGTTACAGGATGAGAGCTACGCTCGTAGTGTCCCGTCTCCCCAGCACTCTTTGTCAAATAACGCTTTGAAATTACTGACGATTTTGGCCTAGACCACCTTCTCACCTAACTAGTTTCAACCGTCTGTTTACAAAAGTGAATTTTCTTATATTTCTCCGGCAGTTTTGTTTTGTTAGTTTAAATCTATGACCTTTTGTTCTTGAAGTTCCGGGTGTCAGGAATTCTTCCCTATCAATTTTATTGATTCCTGTTACTATTTTGTACATAGTGATCATATCGCCTCTTTTTCTTCTATCTTCTACTTTTTGCATATTTAATGCCTCTAACCTCTCCTCGTAGCTCTTGTCCTTCAGTTCTGGGAGCCACTTAGTGGCATGTCGTTGCACCTTTTCCAGTTATTTGATGTGCTTCTTAAGATATGGGCACCATACCACTGCTGCATATTCCAGCTTCGGTCTAACAAAAGTCGAGAACAATTTCTTTAGTATTTCTACATCCATGTATTTAAAGCAATTCTGAAGTTAGGAAGTGTAGCATAGCATGTGATATACACGGACTTCGCAAAGGCTTTCGATAAATGTGACCATGGCGTGATAGCGCACAAAATAAAGTCAATGGGAATAACCGATAAAGTAGGACGCTGGATACTCAGTTTTCTGTCAAACAGGACTCAGCGAGTAATAGTCAACCATATAAAATCTAGTCCGAGTGCAGTTAAAAGCTCTGTACCTCAGGGTACAGTCCTTGCACCTCTGCTTTTCCTTATTCTCATATCAGATATGTATAGACAAAAATACACGTCACAGCTTCGTATCATCCTTTGTAGATGACACAAAAATCAATATGAAAATTACCTCGGCTGAAGACACTGAAAAACTTCAGGCTGATATTAATAAAGTTTTCGACTGGGCATCAGAAAATAACATGATGTTTAGCAGTGATAAATTCCAGGTACTCAGGTATGGTAAAAATAAGGACCTTAATCATAATACAGGGTACAAAACACAATCAAATGTGCCCATAGTCGGAAAACAGCATGTAAAGGATTTAGGAATAATGATATCTGACGACCTAACGTTTAGGGAGCATAACCAAGCAAATATTGCGACAGCCAGAAAAATGATAGGATGGATTACGAGAACTTTCAAATCCAGGGATCTCATCACAATGGTTGTACTCTTCAAGTCACTTGTGTTGTCCTGTCTTGAGTACTGCTCAGTACTCACTTCCCCCTTCAGAACAGGAGAGATTGCTGAAATAGAGGGAATACAGAGAACATATACGGCATGCATAGATGCAATAAAGCACCTAAATTATTGGGATCGTCTCAAAGCCCTCCAAATGTACTCACTAGAAAGAAGACGAGAGAGATATCAAATAATATACACCTGGAAGATACTGGAGGGCCAAGTACCAAATCTACACAGTAAAATAACAAGGTACTGGAGTGAACAATATGGAAGAAAATGCAGAATAGAACCTGTGAAGAGCAGAGGTACCAGAGGCACAATCAGAGAACACTGTATAAACATCAGAGGTCCACGGTTGTTCAACATCCTCCCAGCGAGCATAAGAAATATTGCCGGAACAACCATGGACATCTTCAAGAGGAAACTAGATTTATTCCTCCAAGGAGTGCCGGACCAATCGGGCTGTGGTGGATATGTGGGCCTGCGGGCCGCTCCAAGCAACAGCCTGGTGGACCATATTCTCACAAGTCAAGCCTGGCCTCGGGCCAGGCTTGGGGTGTAGAAGAACTCCCAGAACCCAATCAACCAGGTATAGGCTCCTCGCACAATGTTCGTAATGTGGTCCTCAGGTGACAGTTTTCTATCTAGAACCACCCCTAGATCCCTTTCTGTCAGAATTCTTTAAAGATTTCTCACATAATTTATAGGTTGTGTGGGGTCTATGTTCTCCAATTCCACATTCCATAACATGGCATTTCTGTATGGAGCCCCTACGGCGCCCTGGAGCTTATCAGGCTAATGTCTATTATATTAGACAGGGACATTAACTAAGGAGTTCAGACCTACCAGGGATCAGCGCCAGAACCTGGCCCCTTCAGAGAGGTTTCAGGGAGCAATGGCCCTGGAAAAACCCCTTGTGATTGGGGTTTTCCTTATCTGCCATCGACCGGGGTTAGGCACCCAGAAAGGTAGGCATAACAAAACAAACCGCACATGGTAAAAAACTAAAACATAAAACCGAACAGAGGTAAAAACTCCCTACAATCACAAGGAAACATGCAAACAAGCAACCATCACCACGCCAGCTGCCTAGCATCAGTCCGTAATCTAATGTCAACCAGGACACACACTTCTCTGGCCTGAGTTCCCTAGGCGGTGTTTGCCTTTCGTGGCGTTCACTGCTGTGTGTTGTGTTGTGCGGTGGCCAGGTGTTCCTCATCAGTACCGGGGCTGCATGCGCTTAGGGGCTTCCTTCCCTAAGCACCCTGTGAGTACTGCCCCTGCGTGACAGGGTTATCTTCCCTGGGGCGTTCGGGAACCATTCCCGTAGAGGTTCTTGCTGCTCGGCATTTGCCTCTCCCTTGGGGCCAGCTGGGGCTTGGGGCCCTTGTTTGGCCATGGGTAGGGACTGGTATTGTGCTGGTTAGGGCATCAAGGTGTTACACGACCTGCCACCTAAGCGCCGACCAGTTCCTGTTGCCCCTGGAGACGGTGTACTTTTGCGGGCTTTTTCTTTTGTTTTATTTTTATTTGCCTGGTGGGGGTCTGTCCAGTGTGGCTATAGTTCCACTGGTAGTGTTTGGTGGCCCTCTGCTAGGCCCCCGTGATTGTACACGTCGCAGGGGTTTTCAGTGTTGTCCTCTACCACCTTGTTAGTTTTGCGTTTTAACCGGTTAGCAACACCTTGCCCGGGCTTCCCGTAGTTGTTACCCTACGGGCCCTGGAAAACCCTTTCGGGGCTCGGCGGACCATTGAATGTGTCTTCCGGGTTCCAACCAGTCTTGTAATTGTTCATTGGTTGCTGTGCCCTTGTCTCCGGGTGACAGTCGCCACTTTTACCTCCGTCATGATGCCTGTTGGGTCACTGACACCTTGACCCAGAGTCTTGCGAGATATATTCTCTGCTTGTTCTCTAGTACTCTCCTGATGTTATTAGTGTTCAGAGTACAGGCGGCATCCGTGTTGCAAGCTAGGTTAGGTTGCTGCAACACGTTAGGTTGGTTTCCCACTCGGATGCCCCAAGGCCGCCGCGTTTTGGTTAGGTGCTGTTCGCCACTTTCCTTCCCTGTTCCCGGCTCCGGACTGTCTGGAAGTTTCGGGGTCGTGGCGGGGTTTTGTTGGGGCCGAGACTCGGGCGGTTTCGGGGGCTACCCTGTTCAAGTTGGGGACGGAGATTTTCGAGCCTGTTCCTCCTACCAAGGCTTCTGGGTCTTATCAGCGCCCCTTTCTTGCTGCCTTTCCCATGGACTCTTCCTTTTCTTTAAGAGCGGAGGGCTTGGTGGACGGCTCTGCCCAGGGGCCTCTGTTGCGTGTTCCCAGGGCTGTGGGGGATGCCTGCTAGCAGTTCTGATGCTGTTTGCCCCTGCCTGGGTTTTATGCTTTTGGGCGGAGTTTTCGTCCATGCAGTCTGATTGCTTTCCACTTTTGCTGGCGTATTTTCGTATCTTTTGTGTGGGTCATGGCCCCACTGTTCTGGTGGCCATTTTCTTCTGCCGGTTTCCCGGCACGGCCACCAGGGCGACGTTGCGGTTTGTTTACA